TCCAGGCAAGAGTACTGGAGTGGGTTGCCATTTCCTTCTCCAATGGTGCTCAGTAAATGTGTGTCCCTTGCCTTGGCAGAGAGCCCAGAAAGACAAGGAGGGGACAGGAGGAAGAGAGTGTGAGAAAGGGAGAGAAGTGTGTAAACTGCCTGACACACAGTAGGTGCTCAATATATGTTCATTCTCTCCCCTAGGAGGAAGCAGAGTCAGAAAGGAGAGGAAATGAATAGAGAGAGAAGAAAGGAATTGGGGAAGAAAAGAGTGTAAGAAGAGACAGGGTTTGTAAATTCCCCAGCATACAGCAGGTGCTCAATACATGCCCATTTCCTTGCGGGAGAGACCAGCAGTTCAGGAGGAAGGGAGAGAAAACAGGGTGGAAGGGATGGGAGAACAAAGAGAGAAGAAGGTGCAGAGACAGTGTGTGACTGCCTGGCAAACACTAGGAACTTAGTAAGTGCCCATCTCTTCCAAGGAAGAGAGCTGGAAGTTCGGGAAGAACAAGCAGAGGGCACGGAGGAAGGGGGTCGTGGAGACGAGAGGGTGTCAGGACAGGCACGGAGGCATTCGGGGTGCACCCAGCAGGATGCAGAAATGCCTGGCTCCTTCCCCTGCAGAGCAGAAAGCAGGCTCAAGGGGGTGGAGACCCCAGCAGGAAGGCCAGAAGGCGGGTGTAGCGGGGTCTGAAGCTGGAGGCTGAAGTCAGGCTTTTGGTGGCCCCCCGCCCCAGCTGCCCCGAGGACCACGGAGTGGGACAAGAGCCCGTTGTTTGGGGCCTGGCACCGCCTGGCGGAGGTTGTGGGGGTGGTGGCCGCTAGCCCCGTCTGCTGTGTCTGGGGGGACGCGGGCACTGCCTGCTGTGTGTATGTCAGCCTCTGAGTCTCCGGGTCTTGCACCTTCACCGGCCCTCCCCATCTCTGAGTTCCTGGCGCCCAGCTGGTCTGCCTCTGTCTCTGGGTCCCTGTCCCCTGCTGTCTCGGAGTTGGCCTCTGCACACATCTCTCTGCCTTTCTCCCCATCTCTTCCATCTGGATCTCAGCCTGTTTCTGGTGGTCTCTCTGGGAGGCAGGAACCCTGACCCCAGCCCTGGGTGCTCGACTACCCCCTCCCACCTGCTGGGATCAGGACGGGGGTGGTGTTGCTGAGCTCAGAGGCAGAGGGGTGAGAAAGGAAAGGAGGCGAGAGGAGTTGGAGAGGTGAGGATAGACACAGCTTTATTCAGCAGAAACCAAGGCAGAGGCCCCGGGGCGGCTCCATCCCGGGCGCTGGAGAGGTGGGGTCAGAGAGAGGAGAGAGAGGCAGGGAGAGAAGGAGAGAGAAGCCGAGAGAAGCGAGGAGAGAGATGGAGACAGACTGGGGAGACGCGAGAGGGATGGGCAGAAGGGTGGGAGATGCGGAGAGAGGTGCAGAGAGAAGGGCTGGGCGCGAGCAGACAGACAGAAAGCGAGAGAGTGGGGAAAGCCACGGAGACAAAGAAGTGGAAAGAGAGAGACAGGGAGGGCACTTCCCCGGTGGTCCAGTGGCTAAGACCCCAGGATCCCACTGCAGGGCGTGCGGGCTGGATTCCTGGTCAGGGAACTGAGAACCCGCCCGCTGCGCGGTGCAAAGGGAGAGACAGACAGACAGACAGAGATGAAGAGACAGGAGAGAGACGTGGGAAGACAAAGCCCAGAGAGATGACGGGGAAGGGAGAAGGACAGAGGCGGAGTCAGGGAAGGGATGGGGAGAAACAGCCGCGGGAGCGGGGGTCCGAGAAGCGAAGAGATGGAGAAAGGCAGAGGGAGAGAGCCGGGCGCCGCAGGGAGAGAGGAGAGAGCCGGAGAGAGGGGGCAGCGCCGTGCGGGTGGGACGCGGGGAGGCAGGAAGGAGCGCGGCCCCTCTCACCTGGCATCGCCGGCGGCCGCCCCGCCACGGCCCGACTGCGATTTAAGGGGCGTCCCGGGGGGCGGGGCTGCACCCCCCACGGCCTTATCTGGCCAGACCCGGGCTCAGACAGCTAAATCGGGCCTCAGCTGTCGGCGCCCGGGGGGCGCGGGACAGCTGTCACCTCCCCCTGCACCTGCCGCCCCTCCCCCTCCTGCAGCCCCGCGGACCCTGAGACTCCCGGTGGGTCTGCCTGGGGCGCCCCTAACGGGCAATTGGGGATCCCCAGGAGCCCCCCCGACCACTCGACGCTCTGGGACCAGCCTGGCTGGGGGCATCCTGGGGATAAGGAACAGCCTGACTCAGTCTTGTGAATAGTGGGGGCGGGGCGGGGGCAGCAGGTGGGGGCCAGAGAGGCTGCGTTGGGGTGGGGGCAGCCCTAAGGGGCAAACAGTAGGCGCTCAATCTGTGCACCAGCCCAGCCTGCTAGTGCTCTAGCCTGTGCAGAGCAGGAGGGGTCATCACCTGAGGTGGGGCTGGGAGTAGGAGGGAGGGAGGCTGCCGGATCCCCACACCCCCACCCGTCCCCCCCCCGCCCGGGGTCCCACCCCCCTGCCCCGAAGCTCCTGCTCCTCGGACCATATTAGGCCACCGCGGAGAAGGCACCTGGGAAGATCACTCAGGCCCAGGAATAGAAGCACTCAGGGAGCCCCGCCAGGCTGTCTGGGACTTGACAGGACAGGCGACAGGCACGGGGCGGGGGAGTGGGCCACAGAGGGCCCAGGGAGACAGACAGACAGACAGAGTCTGAGAGAGAAACACCTGGAAAGAGAGCCCAAGACAGGGGCACCGAGGGAGGGCCAGATCAGAGACTGGGGGGAGTGTGGGGCCTGCTTGACTGTTTTATACGCGTGGCTGCTCCGGGTTTCAGCCGTGGTATATGACCTCTTAGTTGCTACATGTGGGATGTGGGAGACCTTCCTGACCGGGGAGACCAGGGAATGAACCTTGCCGCCCCGTTTCCACCCCCCGCCCCACCCCCGCTGGCATTGGGAGCCTGGAGTCTTAGCCACTGGACCACCAAGGACGTTCCTTGTGCATCTTGACTTTTCACTTTTACCAGTTGCCCTTTGACCTCTGAAGCCTTGGGAGCCGGAATCCACCAAGCCTGAGTCCCCGGCAATGGCTGGCCATTGCGTCCTGCCAGCATCTGCTCCCCGCCTTCCTTCTTGTGTTCCCCGCCTTGGATGAATCTACTGCTGGGTGGAGCGCATCCTGAGGCGGGGGTAGGGAGACACCCGGAGCTGGGGTGCTGCCTGCCTCTCCCTGCCCACAGCCTCCCTGTGCCTCTGGGTCCCCCATTTTTGCTTGGCACCTAATGAGGTGCCCCACGTTTGCCCACTTCCTGCCGTTATGCTCACGCCTCCTGGGTCAGGCCCGTGACCCCTGGAGCCATCTCCTGAGTCCCTGACCCTGGTCCTCCTCTCCTGATGTCACCCGGCCTGTCATACCCCTTGCATCCCACCCCCCCTCCCCCGCAGCTGCTCTACCCCAGGGTCCCGTCTGTGGGGTGGCCCCATGGTCCCCCAGGGCCAGACCCCGGGGTCCCTCCTTCCCTGCCCACTCCCGCACACCCCCAGAGTGTGCCCTGACCCTCTTGTCACCTCTGTTTTGCCTGCAGGGTCCTGGCTCAGGCCTCATCTCCTCCCACAGGGAGCCTCAGCCTCCTCCTGGTCACCCAGCCTGCCCCCACGTGGCCCCAGAGGGGTCTTTCTGTATCCTGGACCTACCCGCCCCACCCCTGCTCATAGCCCCACCATGGGCCAGGTCCAGCCCTCCAGCTGCTGTTGGAGGCCCTGTGGGCGGTGGCCCTGTCAGGATCTACCCTTATCTCTAATCACCTCCTCAGATAGATACTGCAGAAATTGCCTCCCTCAACATTCCAGGTCTCCTTGGGGGCTGTTTCTAATTCTGGAATGGCCCCTCCCACCCTTCCCATTGGCTCCCTGGAGAGCAATCCCCTTAGCCTCCTAGAGCCAGCCCCGCCCAGGACCCCCGCAGGTCAATCAGTAAAGAATCTGCCCGCAATGAGGGAGAGCCAGGTTCGATCCCTGGTGCGGGAGAGATCCCCTGACGGAGGAACTGGCAACCCACTCCAGTATTCTTGCCTGGACGGAGGAGGCTGGCGGGCTACAGTCCACAGGACACGGCTGAAAGACTAACACGTTCATTTTCACACTTCCAGCTCCTAGAGGCTGCCTGTTTCCTGGCTCATGACCCCCTCTCATCTTCAAAGACACCCCCAGGCCCCACCCCGAGCCTCCCATGTAGTGTCTTCATCACCCATCTTTCTCTGATTCTCCTCTCCTGCCTCTCTTCCATTTGTTTTTGTTTTTTTTTTTAATTTTTGGCCGCACTGCACTGTGTGTGGAATCTTAGTTCCCCAACTAGGTACTGAACCTCCCGCCCTGCAGTGGAAACGCAGAGTCTTAACCATACTGAACCACCACCAGGAAGTCCCACTGCCTCCTTCACGTCTAAGGACCCTCGGGATTATACTGGGCTGACGCAGACCACGCAGGACAATTTCCCGCCTTTGAGGTCAGCAGCTCAGCCAGACTTGCAGGTTCCTGGATGAGGTTGGGGATGTCTTCTGGCGCCACGACTGCCAGTTGCTGGACAAGCTGGGCACTGAGAAGTCAACCCTCGCCTTCTCCGTGGGGCTCATCTCCCCGGACCCTCTGGGATGCACCGATTTGTTTGTTCCTCGTCTCCCCCTCGAGGCTTCGGAGGGCAAGGATTTGCATTGCTTTCTCCCAGTGCGTCCCCGCCCCACCCCCATGAGGAAACTGAGGCCCTGAGAGGTGAGTGCAGCGCAGGAGGTGGTCTAACCCGCTTAGGTCTCTGATAAACCCGAGTAACTGAAGGAGAGGGGTCCCCGGTGAGACACGGGCCAGGCCAGGAGCAAATTACCAGGTTTATTGAGGCAGCAGCGGCATGAGGCGGGATGGGGGTTCGGGGCAGGGGGCGGGGCCTCCGCTGGGTCCACGAGGTGTCCAAGCCCCCGGCGCTTGCTCTGGAGGCTGATGCGGTCGCGGGGGCCGCTCCGGATGGGCAGCTGTGCTCCCCTCCTCCTGGGGTCAGTCTGTCCGCAGCCAGGAGCCCTGCTCCTCCACCTCCTTGGTCACCACCAGCAGCACCTCGCACAGGCCCTGAGCCAGCGCGGCCGCCAGGAAGGCCCTGCTCAGACATGGGGAGGCTGAGGCCTCGAGGGGGTGGGGTGGGGGAGGACAGGCCGCCTCCCCATGGCCCCCGGCCCTGGAGCCGCGCCCCCAGCCCTCACCTGACGCCATCCTCGTCACCCAGCACCTCGGGCGCCCGCAGCTTGGAGTCCAGGTTGTAGTAGACGCCATCCACCTGGCGCAGGGCCACCCAGTGCCGCCGGCGCACAGGCAGGGATAGCAGCCCCAGCGAGACGGGCGAGGGCAGATTCAGGATCAGCCCCAGCACCCGGGGCAGTGCCAGCTGGGACAGGGGCCTGCGGGTGGGGCGGGGGCGCCACAGTCAGAGCCCCGGCCCTGGGCGGGCGCTTGCTGGCCCAACGTGACCAGGTGTGTGGGGCCCGGGCTGGTGGCGGCGGTGGGTGCCCGAGCCCACCGAGGGACTCGCCTCCATCAGCCCACCCTTTGCTTCCCTCCACTCACCTGCTGCCCACCCCACTCAGACCTCCCAGTCAGGCCACCCACCCAGCAAGTCACCCTTCACCCCCATCCACCTGCCCGTTCGTTACCCACGCATCATGCACCCAACCCAGCCAAGCCCCCAAGCACCACCTGCCCAACAACTCCACCATCCACCCCCTCCCCATCCACTCCTGACACATCTACCATCATCCATCATCCACCCATTATACACCACCCACCCATCCAAGCCTCCCAGCCATAGAACAGTCACCTACCATCCACACTCTTCACTGACCCACTCAGCCACCCACTGATGCAATCAACCCGCAGCCAGCCACCCGGCAGCCCAACATCTCCTCCACCATCACCCAACTCTTCATCCGCTCTTTCCATCCGTCCATCCAGCCAACCATCTTGGATGTTCGCTATCCACTGCCTATCAACTGGAGAAGGCAATGGCAACCCACTCCAGTACTCTTGCCTGGAAAATCCCATGGCCGGAGGAGACTGGTGGGCTGCAGTCTATGGGGTTGCGAAGAGTCTGACACGATTGAGTGATTTCACTTTCACTTTTCACTTTCATGTATTGGAGAAGGAAATGGCAACCCACTCCAGTGTTCTTGTCTGGAGAATCCCAGGGATGGCAGAGCCTGGTGGGCTGCCGTCTATGGGGTCGCACAGAGTCGGACACGACTGAAGTGACTTAGCAGCAGCAGCAGCCTATCAACTGAGGGCTTCCCAGGTGGCTCAGGGGTAAAGAATCCGCCTGCCATTGCAGGGGACGTGAGAGATACGGGTTTGATCCCTGGGTTGGCCTGGAGCAGGAAATGGCAACTCACTCCAGTACTCTTGCCTGGAACATTCCATGGACAGAGGAGCCTGGCGTGCTATAGTCCATGGGGTCGCAAAGAGTTGGACATGGCTGAGTGACTGAGCACGCACCCACACGTATCAATGATCCATCCTTGATCTATCTTTCATTTACTCAACCACCCATCCATTCATATATCTTATCACCCAACCTGCCCATTCACCATCCACTTACCCATCAATCTACCAATCATGCATCCATCAGCTTACCCCCTGACCATCCCTCTATCACCTCCTGAGCCCTCAGCCGGCCAGCCACCTGTTATCCACCCTTGCAAACCCTCCACCTGTCTACCTCTTCCTCCCTCCCTCCCATCCACCCGTCCCCTCCCCCTGCGTTGTTCCCCACCGACCACTGTCGCACCGCACCCACCGCGCCCAGTTCAGCACGCCTGACGCAGCGCTATGGCCCGCACCTCCTTCGGTCCCACCACACAGCGGCCAGGCCCTGCCCCTGCAGGGCGGCCATGATCACGTTGACGTCATAGTTGCCGGTGCCCAGGAGGCTGCGATGGGGGTTCAGCCGGGAGTCTGGGGCCAACCTGGTTGGGAGGTGGTCAGGGCCTCCTGAGTTGGGGGTTCCTGAGAGGGCCGCCCCCTCCCCCACAGAGCCAAAGAGTCCCAGGGTCCGTGAGTCACCCAGCCTTGGGACTCTTCCCTCTCCAACCCTCTGCCAACTCATCACCCCCAGCCATGTTCCTCCTGTCCCCGACTCTCTCGTTCTGTCTTCAGGGAAGTAGGCCCTGTCCCCCACCCACAGCTCTGCTCAGGCCTTGCCCTCCTCCTCCTGGACCCTCACCCAGCTTCCAATCTCCCCCCTCCTAGGGGCTCCTCCGACACCCAGCACTGCCCCTGCCACCCCCGTCACCCCAGGAGAGAACCCCAGCCCCTTGGCCTGGCCTGGCAGGATCTGGGCCCTGCTGGCCTCCTGGCTTCATGCCCTCCCCATTCCTTGCAGCCACCTGACCCACCGCATCTCCCGTGCTCCTGCACCCGGCCTTCCCTCCAGCTGACCCCCAGCCCACTTGTCTCTCTAGGCCCTGCCTCCTTGAGACAAAGGCAACTTTGTTCTGTCTCTGGGCCTTTGGGGGGCAAGGCAGGGGGAGGGGCTGGAGACGGGGAAAGTTGTGTATTCTTTTTCTGTGTATCTGTTTCCCTGGCTTCCCTTAGGGCAGGGGCTCACAGCGGACTCATCTCTGAGTCTCCAGCATGGCGAGCCATGAAAGAGTTGATTGATTCCTGTTCTGAATGATGGGAGGGGATGAACACATTCTAAAATAATCAGTCTGAGGGGCTGGGACTCAGCCTGAGGATGGCGGGGGTGGAGGCACTGGAGGACTGTGAGCAAGGGTTGGGGAGAAAGGGTCATCTGGGGGCGTAGGATCACACGGGGGACTGATGGGAGGGGAGAGACTGGAGGCCGAGGGGAGGGTCCAGAAGGCAGTGGGGCCAGAGAGGAGGGACTCGGCAGAGAGATAACAAAGAAGTGATGTTTGAAATCCTGAATAGTGAGGCGGCACTCCAGGCTGCCAAGAAGAGAGCCGTGCCAGGCAGAAAGAACAGCCTGTGCAAAGGCCCAGGGGCACCATGTGGGGCTCATTCAGAGACTAGAGGGGAATTTGTTTGGAAGCAAGCGGTGAGATATGAAGTTGCAGAGATGGGTGGGGACCACAGCACACAGGGTTTTGGTTATCAGGCTGGGTGTGGAGCCTGGGGCTTCTGCCAGGGGTGCTGGGGGAGCCCTGGGAGGCCTGGGAGTGGGGGAGGGGCAGGTGCAGTGCTGGAGCCCTGTGTAGCCGGGACTGAAGGAGATAAACCAGAAGCTGGGAGGTGGGAAGAGAGTGAGGATGAGGGCAGAGGTAAAAGGCTGAGGCCAGGTCAGGGGCTGAGGCCAGCGGGGTGCGCAGCCGCCTGGGTAACATCTCGGCCTCTGAGTCCCGGAGTCCAGCCGGGCAGGAGATGGGGCAGCAGGAAGCCGCAGGGCTCTGCCTCAGGCCTTGCTCCGAGACCCAGGTGGGTGTCCCCACCTCCGTGAGCCCTGCTTCTCCAGGGGCTGGGGTGGGTGATGGTCACCTCTTGCAGATCTCATCGGCAGCCTCCTGGCTGAAGAGCTGCTGCTGCAGGACGTTGTTGAGGGCGTGGACGGCACAGAGCTCCAGGCGTTGCCGTTCGTGGTACACGGAGGGCGGGCTTGGCTGAGCTCCTGGGGCCTGGGACATGCCGTCCTCGGCTCCTGCTTGGAGGGGTGGGGGCAAAAGGTGCTCAGGAGTCTGGGATCTGGAAGCCCAACCTGCCAGCAGGCCCTTGGGGGCACCGTCATTGAGTGGGGGCTCGGGCAGCCTGAGGGGCCCCTGACTCTGACGATCTCCTGGCAACAGAGTACCTCCATTCCCTATTTCTAGGAAAAAAGCTCTCTCTTCTCTAGCTTAGCAACAGAGGACCACCACCCCCGCCCCTGCCACATCCCTAAGTGAATGGGTCCCTGTGGTGGTCACCTAGCAACAGAGAACTCCCCTCCCCTGTCCCTAGGTAACAGGCCTCCTCTCTGGTTACCTAGCAACAGAGGAGACTCCTCCCCCTCCCCCACTCGCCCCCTACTAGGTAACCAGGCTCTCCTCTGGTTACTTAGCAATAGAGGAAGCCTCCTCCCCGTCTCTAGGTAACAGGGTCTCTTCTGGTCGCCTAGCAACAGAAGACTCCCCTCCCCTGTCACCAACCAGCAGAGTTCTCTCCTCCTGTCACCTGGCAACAGGGCCCCCTCCCCAGACACCGAGTAACAGAGCTGTCTCCCCGACCTGTACCCCAACCATGGCGCTCGCCCGTTCCGCTTCCTGGAAACGCCCCTCACCCCGCCTGCCTCTCTGTTCCCCCAAACCGGGGGCTCCCGCATCCCCCCGAGCGGCGGCTCCGGGCTCCGAGAGCGCAGGGCGGGCCGCACAGCGCTGACTGGGCAGGTGGGACGGACTACAGCTCCCGGCGGCCCCCGCGAGCCGGACTACGATTCCCGGCGACCCCGGCGAGAGCGCGAGCTCCTCACGGAACGTCCGGGCAGCGTGGCCCGGAAGTCCGGTGTCGCCCCGAGAACGCGGGACTACAACTTCCGTCAGCCCTTCGACGAGTCCCGGAAATGTGCCCTAAATCGGTCCTCTCCTTCTCACAGTTCCACGCCCCCTGGTGCTCGGAAGATTCTGGGAAACTTAGTGAGGAGGCTTTCGCGATAGGTTCGAGGGGTGTTACTTCCCTGTGCGTCCGCTCCCTGGGCTGGCGTCATGCCTAGTGTGATAACGCAGCGTGACGTCACGGAAGGGAAAGTGATCAGACACCAGACCACGCAGGGAGAAGAGCCTCCAATATTTACTGAGACCAGAGGGATGTCTGGGGACACTGAGGCCAAGACAGCAGTGGGTCGGTGGTGGTGGGAGGTAAATAAGGAGATGAGGATGTCCTCTTGGGAAGGGGGAGGCTTCTTAGCAGAGATGGATCCCCGGTTTGGAGGGGAGCTGGCAGCAGCCTGCGGGGGAGATACAGGGAATGAAAGGCTAAAACAGAGAGATGAGGAGTGAAAGACACCTGGAAGAAGGAACAGATCACCGTGGGGTCGGAGAAAGACCTAGAGGGAGGGACTGAGACTCAGAGGGGAACAGAGACCCAGAGAGAGGGGCCAAAACCTAGAGGAAGAGGGATAGAGACCTGGCAGGTGGAAAGACTCACATGCTAGAGTCCCCGAGAGACAGGGACACAGAGGCTGGGAGAGGAGACTTGGAGAGAGAGTGAGAGATCTATAAAGACTCAACCTCGTGGAGAAGAAGGTTAAGGAGACTCAGAAATAAAGATCAGTCGATAGAGACGGAATCAGAACTGCAGACTCAGAAAGTCTGAGACTCAAGCTCTGCCTGGGGCCCAGGAGGAGCCTGGCCGTACCCACGAGGCTGCGCCAGAAGGTGGTGACGGTGGCAGAGCCGGTGACAGCGCCTGGCTCTGCGGGGTTCTCTCTGTGCGTGTGCACAGTGAAGCTTCGGCCTGTGGGGCCCGGGGGTCCGCTCAGCTCCACATCCACCACGTGCATGTTCTTGAGGCTGGGGCAAGCAGGGTGGTCAGTCTAGCTGGTCTGGCCCCAGCCCAGACCCCCACTCAGCTCCGCTCACCTGAAATCAGCCACAAGCACCCCGATCACACGGTCGAAGCCCAGGCTGGGGGCGGCCAGGGCAGCGGCCGCCATGGTGTTGGAGTTTCGGGGGGCGTGGGGGCAGAGCCCCCGAACAGGGCCTTCATAGAGCACAGCACGAGGCCCGGTGCTGCGCATCGTAGCCAGGGGTCCCTCGAGCCGGAAGCCATCAGGGTGTGTGGCCATGGAGACACGGAGGCTCTGGAAGTGAGAGCTGGGGTCAGGGAGCCTGGGTGTGCCTGTTGGCCGCCTCTGATTCCCGGGGAGTGCAGCGGGCCCTCACCTGGAGACCCCCGGCTTCGTCCAACCTGGAGATGTCCTCTGCGCCCCACAGGGCCCCCCGGGCCACGAACACAGCGTGGCCCCATTGATGTGAGGCCTCCAGGAGCTGCCGCTCTGTGGTTTGGTCAGCCAGGGCTGAGGGGGACCCTACCTGGGGCAGATGAAGCGGGGAGCTAAGGTCAGGAGACGGATCCCACTTTAGGGTGGGGTGGTGTCAAGGTGGAAGAGGCGGGGCTCACCAGGAGATTTGCGTAGCGCAGGATTTCTGCCCCAGATTCCTGGATTATTTTGGGATGGGCCACTTCCACCACAAGGTCAGGGTGCCTGAGAGACGGGAGAGAGGCGGGGAAGGCCTCGAAGAGGTATCGGACCTCCCCCCGCTCCCCAGTTTCCCTGAGTCTGTGGAGGCCCATCATGTTTCACTCTGGCCTGGGAGGGGAAATAGGAGGACGCTTGTCCTGTTTCACGTTTGGGTGAGGGAGGACCAGAGAGGGTAAGGGCCTTGCCTGAGAGCACACATCACCTAAAGGAGGCCAGAATAAGAGTTTCAGAGAGCCCTGCTCTCTCATGGCGAGGTCACTGACCTCTCCCCGAGAGCAGCAAGATTCTGGAGCTGGAGGGAAGGGGGTACGCTCCCCGCCATTCGTCCTGCGTCACGGTTCCAGACAAAAACAAGTTCTAGGCCCAGTTCTGGTCCCTGAGTCAGCAAGTGGGAGACCAGGGACTGTCCTGGGGAGAAGCAAAGAGACTCAGAGAGAGGGGGACAGGGACTCGGGGGGAGGGGACAGAGACCCAGAGGGAGGGGGACAGGGACTCAGAGGGGACAGGGACCCCGAGAGAGGGGGACAGGGACTCAGAGGGGACAGGGACTTGAGGGGACAGGGACACCGAGAGAGGGGGACAGGGACTCAGAGGGGACAGGGACTTGAGGGGACAGGGACCCCGAGAGAGGGGGACAGGGACTCAGAGAGAGGGGGACAGGGACTCAGAGGGGACAGGGACCCAGAGAGAGGGGGACAGGGACTCAGAGGGGACAGGGACCCCGAGAGAGGGGGACAGGGACTCAGAGGGGACAGGGACCCTGAGAGAGGGGGGCAGGGACTCAGAGGGGACAGGGACCCAGAGAGAGGGGGACAGGGACTCAGAGAGAGGGGGACAGGGACTCAGAGGGGACAGGGACTCAGAGAGAGGGGGACAGGGACTCAGAGGGGACAGGGACCCCGAGAGAGGGGGACAGGGACTCAGAGGGGACAGGGACCCAGAGAGGAGGACAGGGACCCCGGGAGGGGGCACAAGAACAGGTGGCGGGCAGAGACCCTGAGGGGCCAGAGACCCGTGGTGGGGATTGGAACACGCTTAGGCAGAATCAGCCAGGCCACAGATCAAGACAGAGATGAAAGGAATGTTGGTGGAGGACACAGGCTTTTGAGGCCCCAGAAAGGGCGTTGGGGAGAGGCCCTGGACAGTCAAGGACTCACCGAGGCGGCCGTAGCCCACTATCCCCACCTTCCTCGGGACCCTGTCGAGGGCCATACCCTTGAATTCAGTGATCTGCGTCTGAGCTCCGCTGCCTGCTGCCCCTCTCACCCCACACACGAGGTTTGGGCAGTGGCTGATCTTTGGACTCTGAGCCTCGGTCCTCTCCCGAACCTTCCCCCTCCCCTGTGGTGGCCCAGAGGTGGGGGTGAGGGGGTGCTGCGTGGGGGCGGAAGGAGGATCCTGGGGACGGTATGCAAGGCGGTTTGGAGTTCTAGGACCCTGCATCGTGCCCCCCCCCCCCCCCCAATCTAGCCTGTTCTTTCTCTGCATCACGCCCTCCTGTCTTCCTGCTGATGTGGAAAATTTCCTCTGCAGTCCCCTGCCCCCCTTTTCTGGCCAGCCAGGTTGTCATGGAAACTGCATCCTGCTTGGGTTGGGGGTAGAGAGGGTTGGGCGCCGGGAGAGGAGACGGTGACGCCGGGCTCTGGGCTGTGTCCTCCCCTTGCTTCTGCTTCTGTATTTCTAGTCCCCATCCTTGCCCCACCCCAACCACCACCGGTGCCTTGGCACCCGGGATTCTTGTCAACGTTCCTCCTCAGCGGCTTCCTCCCTTGGTTCTCTGTCTCCATCTTGTGTGGCTCTCACACTCATCGCTGTCTCCCCACCTTTTCCTGGATCTCCATCCCTCCAGCTTCCACTCCTGCCTCCTCTGGGCTGGCTACCATTCCGTCCCCAGCCAGGCCAGGCCCTCATCTCCCTCAAAGTCCGAGGGAGGCCTGGCCTGGTCATGCCTATCTCCCCACAAGGCATCAGGAGCTGGAGTCGCGTTCATCCTAGCCTCAGAGGCCCCCTCCCAAACGACCCCCCACCCACAGCTCCCATGGAGGGGTCCATGCCCGCAGCCCCTCTCCAAACCTGCCTCCCGCCAGTCTAATCATCCTTCTGTTCACCTTGACGTCTCACCTTTTACCCTCCCCTTCCCCAGCCAGGACACCACCTTATATCCTCCCTCCCATGCTCGTACCTCCCCTCTTGCCACCTCCCATGGCCAATGAGAAACCTGCGAGGCCTGGGGAGGCCCCGAGTGCCCCCCCCACCCCCGACCATGAGCCCCCGCCACTGCGCCTCGAGGGTGCCTGGCATCGGAAATGGCGGAGGCTGCAGCACTCTTGGCTCCCTGCCCCCAACCACCACCTGGTACCCGCTGCAGTGTTGCCATAGCAACCAGGATGGGCCCAGAGAGAGGACGAGAGAGGAGAGAGCGAGCTTGAAAGAGAGAGCGAGGGGGAGCCAGGCGTCGCTTGAGAGGAGAGTCTCCAGCAGACAGGCCTGACAAATAGGGCCGGGGACCCCAGACACATCGCAGCAGAGGCGGCTGCACGGGTGATAAGGGAAGAATTTGCTCTAAGAGCCCCAGGTGGGGGAGAGAGAAGATTCTGTGGGTCAGAAACAGGCGGGGCGGAGGCGGAGGGCCAGGAGCATGGACCCAGTCCAGGGCCTCTGGGAGCACAGAGGGCCTGGGTGGGGTCCCGGGGGCTTCCAGCCCTCCTCGCGCTCCACCTGCAGTCGTGGACGCCACAGGGTCCGGCCGTCCTGCGCGTGCGCCAGGCCTGCCCTGTCTGCCGACCGGGGTGGGCGCGGGGGAGAAAGGCGGCTGAGACCCGAGCCGCTGCTGGGGCCGAGCCCCATGTGTGCGCAGTGATGTCTGCCCGGAGCAGTGCCTTATCCTGCTTCCACTGGCTTCTGCCCGTCTGCACAGCACGCAAAAGCTGCCCTGGGGGACCCTCTGGAGGTTGAAACGCTGGCACCTTGGCCTCCTCCGGCCCCGCCAGCATCTGCCCGCTGGCCTGACCAACCTCTGGCGTTTGCTTCCGCTGGCTGGCTCTCATCTCTCCGAGGACTCTGTGCGGCCCCTGCCCTCTGAACTACACCGTGCGTCCGAGTCTGCTAAATCACTTCAGTCGTGACTGACTCTTCGTGACCCCATGCACTCTAGCCAGCCAGGCTCCTCTGTCCATGGGCTTCTCCAGACAAGAATACTGGAGTGGGTTGCCACGGCCTCCCCCAGGGGATCTTCCTCAACCAGGGATCCAACCCACGTCTCTTGCATCTCCTGCACTGGCAGGCGGATTCTTTACCACTAGTGCCACCTGGGAAGCTACAACATAGCCCTCGCCTACTCCCCGGGCCTGGACTCTGCCTCGTGCCTCTGAGTTAACCAGGCAGAAGTGCAGCCCCCTCGTGCCCAGCAGGCCCCAGCTGCATCTTGAGCACTCTTCATGCCCCTCCTTCCCTCCCCTGCCGACTTTCTCTGGAGGCAGTGTCTCCAATGGGTTTGCAGTGGAGACGGACCCTCTCAGGTTTGGCTCTGTGATGAGCTGAATTGTGTCCTCGCCTCCAGGAGCTGTGAATATGACCCTAGTAGGAAATAGGGTCTTTGCAGATGACTGAGATCATGCTGGAGCTGGTAGCCCCCAATCCGATATGGCTTCTGTCTTCATAAAGAGGGGTTCCCAAGTGGCTCAGTGGTAAAGAACCTGCCTGCCAAGCAGGAGATGCCGGTTCCATCCCTGAGTTGGGAAGATCCCCTGCAGGAGCGTGTGGCAACCCACCAGTATTCTTGCCTGGGAAGTCCCACGGACAGAGGAGCCTGGAGGGCTACAGTCCATGGGGTCACAAAAAAGTCAGACACGACACAGGGACTAAACAACAACCACCTCATAGAAGCGGGGGGGAGTTGGGCACAGATACAGAGGAAAGGTGACGTGGGGACGGGGGAAGAATGCACGGTGGAGCCTGGGGTGACACCGCGCCACCAGTCAAGGAGCACCTGGGGCCACCAGAAGTCAGAAGGGGCAGAGAAGGACCCTTCCCTACAGAGAGAGCATGGCTCTGCCGCTACCTTGATCTTGGACTCGGAACTGAGACACTAAATTGCTGTGGTTCTGAGCCACCCACTCTGTGGTACCTTGAAAGGGCTGCCCCAGGAATCAAGCCCTCTGGATTCCTGCTGTGAGGTGGGAGGTGAGGGGAGAGGACCCCAGAACATGCCTCCTAAGAGGTGCAAGGAGATTAAACACAATGCCAGGTGCGCTGGGCGGCCCAGCCCTTCTCTGGGGCCTCAGGGGTGAAAGCGTAAGGGTCTAAGACCACCTGGAGGCACCAGCTCCCCTGCTGACCCTCCTGATGGGGCCTGGAGTTTTCCATCTCATTCAGCTGCCCACCCACGTTCCCTTTTTTCTCTCTCCTCCATGCTTCCATGACCAAAAAAAAAAAATTTTTTTTTTTTTACTTTTTCCGTGTTTTTTTTTTTTTTTTTAAAGTAATTACAGAGCAGGTAGTCGTTGACGCAAACCTCCCTTCAGTATCAAAAGAGTCTGTGGGGCAGGAGAAGGTTGGGGATAACCGTGGGGGACGGGCTGACGCCGCCCCATCCCCGGCCCACGGGGGCCTGGGGGCCAGGAGTGGACTCCCCCGGGACAGGGCAAGGGTGTCCGGAGGCTCTGACCGCGTGTCTGTCTCTTCAGTTTCCAGGGGGTTAGGGGTAGGATAGGGCGGGGGTGGGGGTCGGGGGACAGGCGTCAAACTGCAAAAAATGAACCGTAAAAGGAGGGCTGTTGGGGGCGAGGGGAGAGGACACCCCTCAAAAAACTCCTCTCTCCCCTGGAACGCAGAGGGCCGGGAGCAGTTGTTCGCAGAGCGAGGAGGAAAGGCGGAGGCTTCCGGCCACTCCCCTCCTGCGTCCCCTCCCATCGCCAGGGAGGGGGCGAGGCCCGGAACCCCTGGGGGGCTCCATTCCCAGGGCCCCACCCTGTCCTCGCTTGGAGAGCCGCCCTGGGGTCCGGACGCTGGTGGGGGCTCTGAGCTGCCTGCCCCAACCTCCCCTGTGCGGGGTTGGGGCTGTGGGGAGGGTCCCGGTCCGGCCCCAGCCCCTCCCCCCTGGGGGGGGGCCCACCCCATCCCCCCCAACCCCGGCTTCAGATCTGCGTCTCTTGCACGTTCTCCTTGGAGCCGCTCTTGAAGAGCAGAGGTTCGTGGATGGAGTTGAGGCCGGGTGGGCCCTTGCCCCCGCAGCCCCCGCCGCTCGGGTTGCTGCTGTAGTGCGCCTTGAAGGCGGCCGCCACGTAGTGGTGGTGGTTGAGGTGGTCGCGCTCCAGGGCGGGCAGGGCCAGGTGACTGTCCCCGCCCACGCCGCCCCCGCCCGCCACGGCGGCGGCGGCGGCCACGGACACGGCGGAGGCGGCGGGCAGCTCGTCCTCCACGTTGATGATCTCCACCGTGCGCGTGGGCCCGTGGTGCTTGTGCAGCTGGTGCTGCCTGCGCAGCTTGTAGAAGGCCACGAGCATCACGGCGGCCATGAACGTGATGGCCACGAAGCAGCCGATGATGATCTTGGTGGTCTTCATGACGTCGTCCAGGTCCTTGAGGGCGTTCTCCGTCACGTCCGTGATGGGCACGGTGAACGCCTTCTCTGTGGGCCGCGAGGAGCGCGGGGCCGGCGCCGTGGTGGACGAGGAGGCCGGGCCGGCCCCCTCCCCGGGTCGGCCCCCGCCCCAGACGCCGTCTGTCGTGGGCCCCGGCGGCTCCTTCTCGGTCCCGCGCGGCTGCAGGGCCTCCTCTCCGGGCTGCGTCTCCAGGGTCTCCACCGTCACGGTGGTGAAGTAGGTGTAGCCGCCGCCCCCGCCTCCGGGGCCGCCCCCGGGGCCGCCCCCACCGCCGCCGCCGCCCGCGCTGCCGGCACTGCCAGCCGCCACCGGGTCCACGGCCGAGACATTGAGTGTGGCCGAGGCCGTGGTGTTGCCGGCCGAGTTCGTCACCATGCAGGTGTACTGGCCCGTGTCTTGCACGGTGACGTTGGTGAAGTTGAGCGTGCCGTCGTGGAGGACGGAGATGCGCACGCGATACGAGCCGTGCGTCATGAGGGTGCCATTGGGCGTCAGCCAGTTGACGGAGGTCATAGACGTGCCCGTGCGGCACTTGAGCTCGGCGGCCATGCCCTCTGTGACGTTGAGGTCCGTGGGCGGCTCCACGATGACCGGCGCGTAGCAGGTGAAGTGCGACTGGTCCAGCTCGCCGATGTAGCGCCCTTTGAGGCCGGCGGGCGCGTGGCAGCGCGCGCAGCACGTCGTGTTGCTGGGCACCGTCTCCTTGAGCCACCAGCTGAGCCACAGCACGTCGCAGTTGCAGTGCCAGGGGTTGTGGTTGAGGTGGACGCGCTCCAGGCGGTGCAGGGGCGTGAAGAGGTCGTGGGGCAGCGACATCAGATTGTTGTGGGACAGGTTGAGCTCCTCCAGCGACTTGAGGTCGTCGAAGGCGTTGCGCTCGATGGTGGCCACCTGGGCGTGCATCAGCCACAGCTTGCGCAGGCTGGTCAGGCCCTGGAAGGAGCCCGGGCGGATGAGGTCCAGCCGGTTGCCGGACAGCTCCAGCTCCTCCAGGCGCACCAGGGCTGTCAGGTTGGGGATGTCCTTGAGGTTGCACATGCCCAGGTTGAGGTAGCGCAGGTTAACCAGGCCCTCGAAGGCCGCCTCCGAGATGTACTCCAGCCGCTTGAGCTCGCCCAGGTCAAGGCGGCGGAGCGAGGGCACGCGGTTGAAGGCGTACGACGGGATGCTCTCAATGGGGTTGTTCCGCAGCCAGAGCTCGCGCAGCTTGGACAGGTACTCGAAGGCCTGCGTGGGCACCGTCGTCAGCCGGTTGTCGAACAGCTCCAGGGTGTTGAGGCTGGGCAGCCCGTTAAAGGCGCCCACCTCGATCTTGCGCACCAGGTTCTTGCTCAGCTGTAGGATCTCCAGGTGCCGAAGGTGCTTGAACGTGTCCGTCCGGATCACCTGGGGGTGGGGTGGGGAGGGGAAACACCATCGGTGATACTGACACTAACTGGGTGGACCACAGAGGGTTTTGTTTTGTTTTTTAATTATTTTATTGAAGTGTGGTTGATTTGGGCTTCATTGGTGGCTGAGACAGTAAAGAATCTGCCTGCAGTGCTGGAGACCTGGGTTGGATCCCGCGGTTGGGAAGATCCCCTGGAGAAGGGAATGGCAGCACACTCCAGTATTCTTGCCTGGAGAAGCCCATGGACAGAGGAGCCTGGTGGGCTATATAGTCCAGGGGGTTGCAGACAATCAAACACCTTGAATGACTAACACTTTTCATGGCTGGTTAATTTCTGTTGTAAACCAGTGATTCAGTTAATAGATACATGAAAAATACATGTATATATTCATATATATGAAAAATTATATATATATATATATACACAACACACATTCTTTTTTCTATTCTTTTCCATGATGGTTTATCACAGGATACTGAATATAGTTCCATGTGCTATGCAGTAGGACACTGTTTATCCATTCTATATATAATCGTTTGCATCTGCTAATCCCAAACTCCCAACCCATCCCCTCCCCTTGGCAACCAGGAGTCTGTTCTCTATGTCTGGATCAAAGAGCTCTGAGTGCTGGCGCGGGCGACGACTCCCCACGTCTCCATCTTTGCTGTAAGATCATGAGGTCACTGTGGAAAGTAGTTTGAGGCTTTCTTCTTATAAAGTGAAGCAGAGTTAGTTGCCTGGGACCCAGCCCTTCCAGTTCCCAAGTATTTCCCCATGAGAAAGGACAGCAGATGTCCATCCAAAAGCCTGTGATGGGTGCTCACAGCATCTGTGTTCATTACAGCCCAAGCCGGAAATGAACCAGGGCCCATCACCTGGTGATGGAGCCACACTCTGTGTCTGCACGATGGGACACAACAGCTCAGCAAGGAAAAAGAACAAACTTTGGACACAACAGCTTGGATGGATCTCACGGGCGTCAGGTTGGGTGAAAGCAGCCAGACCCAAAGGAGCATGTGCCATAGAACCCTGTCCATTCCACGTGTGTGTGTATGTTCTGGAGCAGGGGGAGGACAGTCGGCAAAGGGCCACGAGGGAACAGGATTCCTGGGCTGATAGAAATGCCCCTAGTTGGGGTGGTGGTTACAAAGGTGAATGCAACTGTCGAAAGTCCCCCAACTGTATCCATAACATAGTGAAGTCGCTCAGTCGTGTCCGACTCTTTGTGACCCCGTGGACTGTAGCCTACTAGGCTCCTCTGTCCATGGCATTTTCCAGGCAAGAGTACTAGAGTGGGTTGCCATTTCCTTCTCCAGGGGATCTTCCCTACTCAGGGATCAAACCCAGGTCTCCAGCATTGCAGGCAGATTCTTTATCAGCTGAGCCACCAGGGAAGCCCACCCATAACATGGGAGGCATTTTATCCTATATAAAGTATTTAATCAGATTAAATATAGGAAATCCCCTGGTGGTCCAGTGATTAGGACTCCAAGCTCTCACTGCCAAGGGCTCCAGTTTGGTCCCTGGTCAAGGAACTAACGGAGAAGGCAATGGCACCCCACTCCAGCACTCTTGCCTGGAAAATCCCATGGACGGAGGAGCCTGGTAGGCTGTGGTCCATGGGGTCGCTAAGAGTCGGACACGACTGAGCGACTTCACTTTCACTTTTCACTTTCATTCACTGGAGAAAGAAATGGCAACCGACTCCAGTGTTCTTGCCTGGAGAATCCCAGGGACGGGGGAGCCTGATGGGCTGCCATCTATGGGGTCACACAGTGTTGGACACGACTGAAGTGACTTGGCAGCAGCAGCAAGGAACTAAAATTTCACAAGCTTTGTGGCATGGCCAAAAAAAAAAAAAAGATTAAAAAAAGTTAGGGACGTGGCCCAGTTGTTGACTCTGTGCTGCCAATGCAGGGGGCGTGGGTTCAGTCTCTGTTTGGGGGGCTAAGATCCCACATGATGCATGGCATGGCTAAAAGATTAAAAAAAAAAAGTTATGCCAGTAGTTAACATGCATTGGATATTTCTTGGGTGCCAGAAGCTATTCTAATTGCTTTATGGCCAACAACTCAGTTAATCCAACAAATCACCCTGAAATCTGTAGAGCAACTATGAAATCCATAGAGCTCCAAAAACCAGGTTTCTCAAAAACTTTGGCACCAAACCCCATTTGGTGGCAAAATCTGATCCGAACTCATGTGAAGCTGTTTAAAGCTTTTATTGATCCCCTTCTTGTGACTAGTTAAACATTCCACTCTAGAACATTCCCAGATTTAAGAAGTATGAGATCCTTGCGGGTGCTGTAAACATATATGCTATATATGAATATCTTTCTAATATCAGATGGCCAAACACATTCATCCTTGAGGGTGTCACACGAAGGGTTAATGAATTATCTCCATCTAAGTGGGAAGATGAGTGTGAAAGAGGAGAGTGGGAAAGCTGGCTTAAAACTCAACATCCTAAAAACTAAGATCATGGCATACAGTCCCATCACTTCATGGCAAACAGATGGGGAAAAAGTGATAACAGTGACCAATTTTCTTTTCTTGGGCTCCAAAATCACTGGACAGTGGACAGTGACTGTAGCCATAAAATTAAAGGATGCTTGCTCCTTGGAAGAAAGCTATGACTAACCTAGACAGCATATTCAAAAGCAGAGACATTACTTTGCTGACAAAGATTCATGTAGTCAAAGCTATGGATTTTTTTCCAGTAGTCATGTACAGATGTGAGAGTTGGACCCTAAAGAAGGCTGAGTGCTGAAGAATTGATGCTTTCGAACTGTGGTGTTGGAGAAGACTCTTGAGAGTCCCTTGGACTGCAAGGAGATCAAACCAGTCAGTCCTAAAGGAAATCAATCCTGAATATTCATTGGAAGGATTGATGCTAAAGCTGAAGCTCCAATACTTTGGCTACCTGATGCAAAGAACTGACTCGTCAGAAAAGACCCCAGTGCTAGGCAAGACTGAAGGCAGTAGAAGGGGACAACAGAGGATGAAATGGTTGGGTGGCATCACGGACTTGATGGATGAGTTTGAGCAGGCGTCAGGAGTTGGTGATGGACAGGGAGGCCTGGCATGCCGCAGTCAGCGGGGTAGCAGAGAGTGGGAACGACTGAGTGACAGAACAAGGACAAAGCGGGAGGAAGTGGAGGCACAGAGACGCAGTGACTGGCCGGGGGTGCACAGGAGGGGCTGGCAGATCTGGGATCTGACCGAGGTTGTCTGGCTCCAGAGCCCCAGCTCTTCACCCCTGCACTCGGCTGCCACCTGTCAGGGTGGAGGTTGAGGGACCACAGAAGGGGCAGCGCTGGGCTGGGCGTGGGACGCAGAATCTAATCTTACCAGATTCTCCTCATCAATCACCGTGCTGGTTACAGCAAGGCACCGGAGATCACGCAGCCATCAGACAGCTTCTCTGCAGCCTAGTTATGCCACGGAGACGCTTGTATTTGAATATTAAGGGGATAATGGGGAACCCTAAATAGCAGACAGTGTGCTTATGACCTCATAGAACTTAAAAAAAAACAGCCAAGGAACGGTGTGTGTGCATATACACAGCAAGAAAAGGCCGCAAGGACAGGCCCTAGCCACTTCTAGGTGGTGAACTCCAGCAGCTGGGGATTATGGACTTCAGTTATTTTTCTTAAGTTATGCTTTCTCTTTAATGAATAAAAATTACTTTTAAGTAGAAAAAGACTTTAAAAACTTAAAAAAAGAGACTCTAACCTGGGAGGCACCCCAGGATAAGGAACAATGTTATTCCTGGTGCAGTTATCATCGTAAAACAAGAGCCCACCATTCCTGCCGCCATGACCCAACAGAAGCATGACGCCCGCTACGTGTTTAATTGTCAATTTCCTAGAGGCACCATTAAAAAAAAAAAGACCCAAGACAGATGAAATCAATTTTAATGATTGATTAGCTTGATAGTTCCAAGATAGAAGGGGACAACACAGGATGAGATGGTTGGATGGCATCACTGACTCAATGGACATAAGTCTGAGCAAACTCCGGGAGATGGTGAAGGACAGGGAAGCCTGGCGTGCTGCAGTCCATGGGGTCGCAAAGAGTCGAACACGACTTAGCGACTGAACTGGATTTCCTGGTAGCTCAGCTGGTAAAGAATCTGCCTGCAATGTGGGAGACCTGGGTTCGATCCCTGGGTTGGGAAGACCCCCTGGAGAAGGGAACGGCCACCCACTCCAGTATTGTGGCCTGGAGAATCCCATAGTCCATGGGGTCGCAAAGATTCGGACACGACTGAGCGAGTTTCATACACTCACTGGTGACCGAACAGCAACATTATGGTTTCAACATGTAATCCAGGGGAGAACTTACAAATGAGATATTTTACGATCTCTTTTTTAAATTTATTTTTACTAAGCTGGGTCTTCATTGCTATGCAGGCTTTTTCTCTAGTTGCAGAAAGTGGGGGCTGATCTCTAGTTGCGATGCTACAGCTTCTTATTGCGGTGGCCTCTCTTGGTGCTGAGCACAGGCTCTAAGGCACGGGCTCAATGCTTGTGGCCCATGGGCCTAGCTGTTCCGCCGCATGTGGGATCTTCCGGGACCAGGGATCGAACCTGTGTCTCCTGCTTTGGCAGGTGGAGTCTTTTACCACTGACCCACCAGGGAAGCCCCTATTTTACACTCTTTCCACACTAAGTCTTTGAGGTCTGATGTGTGTTCGACAGGCCACACCCTTAGTAGCCAGTTCCTGCCTTTCCCCTCAATAATAGGATATTGTGAGCCTTCCCCATGTCATGAATATGCTTCTAAAACCTGACTTCTGTGCCCACCTAGAATCTCTTCCTGGAGCTACACCTGCTTTCAGAGATGGAATTGACAAGGGCAGTTTTTTCTTTTCCTTAATACGCTCCTGCCTCATCTCGTTTCCTGCAGTGAACAGGCTCACTTTTAGACCTGGACGTGGCTAGGGAGGGCTGGCCTGGGGACGATGCGGCCTGCATCGATGGGGATGCAGCCA